GTTTCTGGACCAACTCTGTTGGTTTTTATTGTCTTCTCAAAAACCCACTTGGTCCATTGCGCAACTCCTGCCAGGAAGATCCCCCGGCCTCCAGTTCTGCCTCTATCCCAATATTGCTGGAAGCTGTCAGCATTACACAGTTTATTTTTTCACACTGGGGAGTAGGGGTGAATTAGTGTGGAATCGAACTGCCAGAGTACCAATACCAGAGCCATCTCTTACTAGTTTTGTGACTTTGAGCGACTTAACCTCTCTAAGCCTCATTCTGTCTAATCAGTTAAATGGAAGTAAGAATAGTACTTACTTACAGGAGTGATATGACAATGAGATGGGACGATAGCTATACTGCTCTTGGCACATTGCCCAACGCAGCGAACAGGTGGCAGATGTTAACCTTTCTTGCCAGCAATTGGAAAACCCCATAGCACATTCTGCAATCAGCCGGGCTTTTGGGGCTGAGTCCAGGACCTTCCCGTCTCTGGGCTGGGGAAGCCGTGCTAGCACGCATAAGGTAGTGTTTGGTCTTGAACCAGCCTCAGATGTAGATCAATGTAAGTTTGGCCTCTGCTGTCTTCTCAATGTCCTCCTCACATAACCAGGAAAGGTGCAGGAGAGGAGGAAAGACAGAGGGGGCAGGACAAGTGATTGTGGGTTTGTGCTCGGTGCTGACACAGCTCTTCACAGCCCGTCTCATCCAGTCCTCACAACACCCCAGTGACAAGGGTATTACTTTCCTCTTTAAAGAGAAACAAAATGAGCTGGGATGAAACATCAAATCAGAGAGATGAAGCAAATTTATCAAGGCTGCAAAGATGATGATGGTGGTGGTGGTGATGATGATGATGAAGCTAACATTTAAGCACCTACTATGTGCCAGATACTGTTCTAAATGCTACACCTATATTAACTCATTTAATCCTAAAAACAATAGTAAGTACTATTTTCATCCCCATTTTGTAGATGAAAGCTCCAAAACACAGAAAGGTTAAATAACTTGACTAAAGTTACATGCTAGTAAGTAGTATGCTTAGGACTTGAACCAGGACAGTCTTGACCAGAGTTCAGCAAACTTTTTCTCTAAATGGTCATGTAGTAAATAGGCTTTGCAGACTGTACAGTCTCTGTCACAAATATCAACTCTGCCGTTGTAGTGCAAAAGCAGCCATAGACAATATGTAAACAAATGAGCATGGCTGTGTTCTAATAAAACTTTATTTAGAAAACAAGCAGTGGGCCAGTCTTGGTCCATAGGCCACTTGGCCAGCCCACGGTCTTAACTTCTACATCAAGAGAATGAGGACTCCAAGCATCAAAGCTCTGTGAGAAACAAAATATTAATCATGAACAAAGTGTTATACAATTCCCTGGAATTTCTTATGTGATATAGTGTACAATTCAATCAGTGTTATTGCAACATCTATTTATTGAAGACATACTGTATACAAGGTACCACCCTAAGTGTTTGGCATACAGCAATCAACAAACTAGACAGGAAACACCTCCCCTTATGTGAACATATCTTCCAGTAGCACTGGGTGAAGGAATCCAATAAATAAAAAAAGTAGTACATGGATGAATTATACAGTATGCTCAAAAGTGGTGAGTGCCATGGAACAAGATGGAGCATCGTAAGGGGAACGTGAGAGCAGGAGAGGGAAGCGTGGATTGGTGTATGTAGGGGCCTCACGGAGAAGACGGCATTGCAGCAAAGCCCTAAGGGAGAAAAGGGAGTGAGTCATGCTGACATCTTGGTGAAGAGTTATCTAGGCAGGGAGAAAAGGTGGTGCAGAGGCCCCAAGGCATGAGTGAGGCGTGAGCATGCTGGGCAAGTTGAATATGCCGGAGGAACAGGAGGAGGCCAAGGTAGCTCTGGGGGGCAAGCAGGCATCTCAGAGACTGTCCTTAAAGGAGACAGTGGTGGGGCTCAGCCAGTTGACCAGAGGCATCGGGTAAGCTGGGGGTGTCCCAGCGGGAGCATGGCTGACTTGTCCAAGGAGGAGCAAGAGGTCCGTGTGGCTCGAGTGTACTCGAAGGGGCAGTGAAAGGAGGAGGCCAGGAGTTAACAGGAGCCCAGTTGTACAGGGCCTTGGAGGCATGGGGAGGTCTTGCCGTCTACTCTCAGAGATGTGGGGACCTGAGGAGTGACACGATCTGACTCAGGTAGTAAAAGGATCACTTGACTGCCATGACGTATGTTGGAGTCCATAGCTTTGGACTCAGGTTTTCTGGATTTAATCCTGATTCTAATACTAATTATTAATTCACTATCAGGCAACATAATTAATCTTCCTATGCCTGATTTCTACATTCATAGGACAGAGATAATAATAGTAGTTATCACATAGGGCAGTTAAGAGCCTAAAATGAAACAATTCAGATAAACCACAAACATAATTCCAGAGGCGTGGTGAGCACCGAATGAATATCAGTTATTTTAATTATTATTCATCTCTGTAGCAAGAATGTGTTGCCTTACTGTAATAAACTGTTCATTCTTACACACTCATACAGGTAAATTTACCTGCACTGTTGACAGGAAACTGCAGTTCCTCACCACGTGGGCCTCTCTACAGAGCTGCTTGAGTGTCCTTACCACGTTGCTGCTGGCTTCCTCCCTGGAAGTGATCCAAGAAAGAGCAAGGAGGATACTGCAATGCTTTTTATGACCTGTCCTCAGAAACGACACACTGCCACTTCCACCATGTCACACGTTCATTAGAAACAAGTCACTGAGTCCAGTCTCCACTCAGCAAAGGGCAATTAAACTCCACTTCTTAAAGGATGAAGTATCCAAGAACTTGTGAACTTATTTTAAAAACACCACATATATGGTACGTGAATTTGGTGCATTGTCCTTAGGCAGTGCCAGACTTTACTTTTCGGAGGTCCAAAATTTGACTTTCATACAAGCATACAGTGAGCACTGTCAAAGAGTTACTATTACTCACAAGCAAGGGACTCAGCAAGATGATCAAGATAATTCAAGGAATGGAGGTTTACAGGATCAGTCAAGAAAGAAATGCTGGAATTGATTGTCTACGTTACGTTTTTAAAAACTGCTTTATGACTTGCAAGGCAATAAAACTGCACCCTTTGCAGTTATCTTTTGCAATTTATCAATCTTCTCTTAGTTCACATCTAACTTCACAGTCTGGGACCTAACTAGTTAAGTCGAAAGAAGGGGCATGCTCCCTAGGGAACTTATTGTTGGTGGGGCCTGTTTCGAGTTGAAAGCACTCATGGTCATAGTTTTGTCTTATTTCAAGTCTGGAGAATTTTTGTTAACAAAAGTTTGTTCTATTTTTCTCACTCTCACCTGCTTAGCTCATTCTTGCATCCCTCCCTTCATTCGTCCCGTGTCGAGCCATCTCCCTGTACCTTCAGCAAACTTACCGCGTCTCTGGGGGGCCAGCCACGTACAGGCATCATTCCTTATTAGGCAGAACATGAAAAGAGCTTTATTAGCCCCACAACAGTGTCCTGTGGGCCCACGGCTGCAATTCACTGGGGTCAGAGGATCAAGGAAGGCAGCCTGGCTAGGTGGCATTTGGCGTTTTTAGGTGAAACAATATCCACTTCTCCTACAATCACTTTGCAAATAAAAGCCTGTTTGCTTAAAATCACTTTGCCTATAGGCCAACTCTTTCTGGGATTTTGTTTTGGTTTTTGCAACTGTTTCAGTGTCATTTCTGTTTGGTCAAAATTATAGTCAATTTAATAATTTTGCATAAGGCAGTGTCTATATTAGTTTTATTTTTCTGAAAGGTGTTTGTCATATTAGTGGCATGTAAATCACGTGTTATTTTCTTTCTTTTGACCAACTTGATACCTTACTTATTCTTGAACACTCGAAAGACTTTTTGGTCCTTATGTCTGAATGCTATTTCTTTAAAATTTATGTTTTAACAATAAATATTTATCAATGGTACTCAAGACATATTTAAGTTGTTTGTTATGCACTGACCTTTCTTTTAATTCAAATCCGTGACAGAGAGTGCATGGAGGTATTAAAACTGCCTTAATTGTTTTACCATCACATATTATTTTATCAATTAGGTATTTAAGAAAGGTCAAATATGGAATCATAGACAGCATAAACTAGATTTTATTTCCTAAGGAAATAATCACACATGAGCAAAGATGTTGCTGCAAAGATGTTTATCACGACATGGTTATCAATAGCAAAAAGAAAGAAAGAGAAGACAACAATAAAAAGGACCAATGATAATAGATTGGTATAAATGATGTTGTAGCTATATAATGAAATACTATATAACTATTCAAACTTACGATGTCAGTATTCGTATGTGGTACGGAAAGATATCCTGCTATTTTGCCACATTAAAAAAAAGCAGGTTGGAAAGAGCGTAGGTTCTATGATGCAGCTGTATGAGAAGCTGTCTATAGTTACATGCACATATGCGTGCACAGGAAAAGCTGTTGTCATTGGCTTTCTGCTGATGCACTCGCAGAAAACAAGTGCTCATGTTTTTCCTTTTGCCCGTCTGGATTTTCAGGTTTTTCTACAATGAACATGTAGCCTAAACATTCCCTAAGCAGGAGAGCCCCACCTCCAGCATTGTCCATAGGCCTGGCAAGGGCAGAAAGAAGGAGGGACGGAGGAAGGGAGGGAAGGAAAGTAGGAGAAGAGGAAAGAAGGGAGGGAGGGAGGAAGGAAAGAAGGTTATTCTAAACTCTGCTTTCCTTGAGCTGTTATCTGCATTGACTGCCTTGGGTCTGGAAGCCTTTGGGGTATAGGAGCTGAGTGCTCATAAATATCTAGAAAGTCCCACAGGAAGTTCTTCAGAATTCCTGGAAGGAAACTGTCTCCAGAAGCTTCCCTCCCCCAGAGAGGTAATGAGCAGCAGGTGTTTCCAGAGGCTTGGGGTGGTGTGAAATCACCCCGGGAAACCCGCTCCTCCCGGGGCTGTGGCAGTTTCAGGGCGCCTCCCTAAGTGCCGTATTTAAAAGGCTGAGGCATCCTTGGAGGAGCCGGCAGACTCCGCAGTTTCCCCGCAGGAGAAAGCAGTATTCCAAGGTACCCTTTGTGGCGCTAGCAGGACTGGCGCTCTCTCCTGAACCCACGTCCAGAATCTCCTGCTCTGTGGAGGCTCTTCACACGCTGGGAGCTCAGGAAGCTGCTCAGGTGGGGCTTGACCTCTGTCCCCACCTTAGATTTCCTGTTATTTGTTTCAAAATAGGGGCATCTACACACTGTGGAGCTCAAGATGGTCCTGAGTGGGGCTCTGTGCTTCCGGTGAGTATATGAGGCTCTGGTTTGGTGGAGACCCATGGGGAAAGTGAGTTCTGGGTAGACCTGTTGTCCAGCTTTTCGAGGGAGGGAGGGAGGGAGGGGCTGCAATTGCAGCCTGGAGCTGTGACCAGCCCCTCACTGCCCATGGAGAGGTTCTTCCAGCCTTCTTCAGATTGAGCAGGAATGGGGCAGGCCACCTCAGGAAGGGTCCCTGTTGCTCAGTGGGGGGCAAGTGAACCACCCCATCTAGAGCTGCAGCCTGGTCTGTCTGTAGTGAGGAAGGGAGTCAGGGGACCTGCTCAGAGCTCCGCTGTTGCCTCCCCGCACGGTAAATTGATGTCAGCCCACCCACTCTGTGCCCCGACCTCCTTGCTGCTCACTGGGGGAAAAAAATAAAACAAACACCACTATTCAGTCAGTCCATCCATCCACTGGCATGTCCTAAGCAGACATTCTGCATTGCTCTGGACTTTACAGCAGTGGATGAGAGTGGCCCTTTCTCTGAGTCTACTGTAACATTTTTCCCAAACTATTCCAGGGGACTCCAATCCTAGGAGATGCTTTAGCTGTGGAGCTTTCTGATCAAGCAAATGCGGGGAATGCTCTTTTCTCTGTCCTCTTGTGAGAAAACCACAGCGCAACTCAGTGTGTTCATGACTCGGAGGCTTTCTGAAGTCGTGCAATTTGTTCCATCCTGTTTGGCCACACATAAAACAAATTTTTATACTGCATACTTTTCTCCCATATAATACCTTCAGAAACCCACTATAGGATACATCTTTCACCTCACAGGATGTCAGAAAATCAATCGAGATCATAGATGAGAAATAACTTTGAAAAGTAAGATAAAAGAATTTAAAATTTACAGATATTCCTCACTTACTAGGGAATATATGGCCAAGTGGAAGTACATGTACCTGGAACTCTTCAGTAATAACTGAAGAATCAAATTTTAATCTGGAAGAGGCCTGGGTATTACCTTTCCCATTGTCTGAGTTCAGCCATGGGGAGGCTCAGGCCCAGACAGGGTGAGGGGGCTGTCTGCTGTGACTCGGCAACTACGGAGACAGGGCTGGGATGGGGACCAGGGCTCTGACTCCCAGTCCAGACTCTCTGCCGGCACAGGCACACGGAGGAGATTGGTTAGGGTAGAAAAGGTTGAATAGGTGAAGGAGTAAACCTCAGACTCAGACGGGAGCGAGTTTGAGAGAGGATGGGAGAGTTTGAGCAGGGCTGGGAGAGAAATGTGTGCTATTACTTCCAGCACAGTGGGAAGAGAGGGGGACAACATGTTCGAGAGAAGGGGGTTCTCTGGAACTGGGGCACATTGGCATGCCCACTCCTCCCTTAATGGAGTCTCACCCCTTCCCCATGTTTCAGAATGAAGGATTCAGCATTGAAGGTGCTTTATCTGCATGATAACCAGCTTCTAGCTGGAGGGCTGCATGCAGGGAAGGTCATTAAAGGTTAGTGGCAAAATGTGACCCGACTTTCCTGGGTCTCTACATATTCTGAGGGGACGGAGCCTGAAGAGAGCTTGGAACAGTCATGGGAATTAGCACAGGCCTGTGGCCCCCATCCCTGAGGCATTAGATAGAGGGCTGTAATCCGGGCTCCCAGCAAGGACAGATAAAATACTACACCTCCCAGCAAAGTCGACATAAAGCCTGGTGCCACCTGAAGCTTCTGTGCAGAGGTGGGAATATTTTCTGAGAGGAGTGGCTTGTCATTCTCTCATAAGTAGACTTAGTAGGTCAAACATTCCTGGGAGCTGGTGCTGAGGAGAGAACTAGAGCAGGTTCTCTATACTTTTATTCCCATACTGGGGTGGATTTCTGTTTCCGCCCTGGGTCCCCTCTGCTCTCTGAGAGTCACCAGTTACTTGGAGTAGCAGAGAACAGGTGGCACTGTCGGGCGTCTCGCTTACTCACTCTGCCCCCAACACTGCGACAGGCCCTTTACTCTAAAACAGTGCTCAGCTCTCCACCCAGGGTACCCTTCCTGAGCACAGAGGCCAGGCAGGCCCCTCTGCTAGACCATGCGTACATGTGTGTGCATGTGTGTGTACATGCAGGCATGTATGTGTGTGTGCACATGCACATGTGTGTACCTGTGTGCGTATGCACAGGTATGTGTGTATGAGTGTGTGTGTATGTGTGTCTATTTGGGTGTACATGCAGGCATGTATATATAAGCATGTGTATCTGTGTATATGTGCATATCTGTGTGTGTATGTGTGTCTATTTGGGTGTACATGCAGGCATGTATATATAAGCATGTGTATCTGTGTATATGTGCATATGTATCTATGTGTATAAACATGCATGTGTGTGCTCAAGTATGCGTGTGTGAGCAGGTGCACATGTATGCATATATGTGTGTGAATGTGTATGTATGGTGTGTGTGCATGTGTGTATCTGTCCGTGTGTTTCCATGTTCATTACGTGCATGTATGTGTATGAATGTATGTAGGGGGGATGTCCAGAGAGGAGTGAGGCCCTCTTCTGCTCTCAGGAATCCCTCAGGGGTAGAAAGACGTCCAAACAACTCTAATGGGAGGTTTATTGAGACAAGTTGCAGAAAAGAGGCTTGAAAACAGGGGCATTGAGGGAAGGGGTTGAATCCACCTTGGGGTTTAGAGAAGACTTGAAAGTTTGACCCTGAACAAGGGGTTGGGATGGGAGGTGGTGCAATGGGCTACAGTGTGGTACAATGTGACTCAATGTCCACTCTGGGCCAGCTTGCAGGAAACCATCCTTCCTTCCCCTTATGACAGCCACCGAGAGGCTTTCCTTCTGCACAGCTGGGGGTGGGACAGCTCCCAATGATTCTGCACCCTAGGGTCCAAGATGGGGGGAGGGGGAGAGAGGTAGCCAAGGTCCCTGCATCTGGCCTCCTTCCTGTAGGTGAGGAGATCAGCGTTGTCCCCAATCGATGGCTGGATGCCAGGCTATCCCCAGTCATACTGGGCGTCCAGGGAGGGAGCCAGTGCCTGTCGTGTGGGACGGGGCAGGAACCGACCCTGACATTAGAGGTGAGTCCAGTCGGGGCATCCTTGCCATCTGGCAGCTAAGCCAACAGACGAGGAATACACTGGGGCTGGGCATCCTCCACCTCTCAGAGATGCCCTGGCAGGGTTCTCTTGATGGCAGCTCTGTCTCCCCACTGATGGCCCTGCCCTGGCCCAGCCCAGCCCTCCCGCTGCCCCCTCCTGCCCCTCACCTGCCCTGTCCCTCTGCTGGCAGCCAGTGAACATTATGGAGCTCTACCTCGGTGCCAAGGAATCCAAGAGCTTCACCTTCTACCGGCGGGACAGGGGGCTCACCTCCAGCTTCGAGTCGGCCACCTACCCGGGCTGGTTCCTCTGCACAGCGCCTGAAGCCGACCAGCCTGTCAGCCTCACCCAGCTTTCTGAGAATGCCGATTGGGATGCTCCGATCACGGACTTCTACTTCCAGCAGTGTGACTAGGGCTTCGTGCCCCCCAGAATCCCCTAGGCAGAGCCAGCTTGGGCAGGAGATTGGTGTAGAAGGAGACCTGTGGGCGACCACCCCTCTGCTCTCAGGGCCCCTACCTCTGGCTTGCTGGGCACCAACTACTTCTCCTGGTTCCTAGTTTGGGTAAATTCTGAGATTTGAGCCTCAGTCCACAGTTACCTCCCCCATTGGGTGTTGCTACTGGTGTGGAAACTTGTAAAAACTGCATGGGACAAACTGGGAGACACATAAAAAGATTTAAAGGGGGTGGGGTGGGGGGAGTGGTGGGAATTATTCATGCCCAGTGATAACTGACCCAGTGCCCCTAGACCCCACAGGCCAGCCCAGCCCCAGTTGAGCCTCATAGGGCCACCAGCCCCCCGAAGAGGTCCTGTCATCCACTGCTGTGCAGGAGAGCAAGGCAGTCACAGAGTTAGGGACCCACGGTCCTCAGCCCAGCCCCTTCCCCCATCCGTCCCTTTAGTCCTGCTGCCATCACCATCCTATGCTACCTTTTCCACCTCTACCTTCCTCCTCTCCCCGTGGGCATGAGAGGGTGCTGGTGTCAGAGGAAATGGCTCCAGCCCAGAAAACAGAAGATTAGCAGGGCATGCCATCCCTTATTAAAACCCAAGGGGCAATAAAAGTCCCAGAGGCTGGTCCCTATTCATATGAAAAGGTGCTCATGACATATTAAATGAGAAGAGCAAGTTATAAAATAGCATAACTTGTAATTTCATTTTCGTTTAAAAAATACCTATCTCTATTTTTCTGCATAGAAAAAAGTCTAGAAGAGTTTACTTCAATGGTAGCAATGTCAGTGGTGGCAGTATAGGTGATTTTTCGCTTTGTTCTTTTTATTTATCTGCATTTCCTAATTTTCCTACAATGAAGATGGATTACTTGTGTAACAATAAGAAAAGAAATTAACCTTGGGGTAAACAGAGCAGACATGGTTTCTTGTTGTCCTTGGCCTCCACTTCCCCAGAGTGAAATGCAAATTGAATCATGCTCTGCTGCTCTGGTTGGTAGCAGCAGGGATCAGGAAACAGATCTCAGCAAAGCCACTGAGAAGGATGTGATGGGCTTGTGTGGCTGGAATCTCCTGGGTAAGAATTTACAGAAAAAAAAAAAAAATCATCCTGTAATTCTTTCCTGGGAAGTTTCCTTTAAAAGGGCTGCCGTACTGGTTGAATAGTGTCCTCCCAAATTTACATGCTTCCTGAAACCTCAGACTGTGATCTTATTCGGAGACAGGGTTTTGCAGATGCAATCAGTTAAAACAGGGTCATGCTGGATTAGAGTGGACCTAAATCCAATTTGTGGAGAGGACACAGCGACACAGGGGAGACAGAGAAGAAGCCTACATAATGACGAAGGCAGAGATTGGAGTTATGCTGCACCAAGCCAAGGAGCACCAAGCACTGTGGCGACACCAGAAGCTGGGGAGAGGAAGGATTCTTCCCTAGAGCTTTCAGAGGGATCGTGGCCCCGCTGACACCTTGGTTTCAGACTTCTAGCCTCCTAAACTGAGGAAGAATAAATGCCTATTGTTTTAAGCCACTAAGTGTGCAGCAAATGGTTACAGAAGCTCTAGGAAATTAACACAGCTGCCAACAGTCCCCGTCTCCTGGCGTTCACGTCCTGCGCGTCCTTCCCACATTGTACCAGAGTTGTCTCTGTGACCAGCAGAATATGCAGCTTCCGAGATTAGGTTATAAAAGACACTGTGGCTTCTACTTGAGCCTCCATTCTCTCTCTCTCTCTCTCTCTCTCTCTCTCTCCCTCCTCCTCCTCCTCCCTCCCCCTCAGTTTCTTGGCTCACTTGCTCTGGGGGAAAGCACCTGCCATGCTGTGAGCACCATATAGAGAAACCCATGTGGTGAGAAATGAATCCCCCTGCCCACAGCCACATGGGTGAGCCTAGGAGTGGATCCTTCAGCCCCATCACGCCTTCTGCTGCGTGCTGGAGCCCAGCTCACAGTTGGGCTATAGTCTCATGAGAGACTGAAGCAGAACAGCCCAGCTGAGCTGTGCCAGATTCCTGCCCCTCAGACTCAGTGAGATAATGACTCTTTGTTGTTTTATGTTGCTCAGTTTTGAGCTAACTTGTTACACAGCAATGGATAACTAATATGCAGGGAAACAGAAATAAATGCATTTGTTTTATTATGATTTCAATTGTCTCCAATATTTTTATTTTCCTTTTCCAAATGAACAACAACCCTTTTATTTACCCAAATGTTCTCTTTAAAAGCTGATCATACTTACTAGCTCTGTGACCTTTGGCAAAAAAGAAAGGAAAAAAAAGCGCTGATCATACCAAATTTGTTGAATATTATGTTTCGCAAGGTTTAGATCTTCCTTGGCTGCCTTTGCACCTCAAGTCTTACATGCCAGGGACTGACTCCGGTATCCCCACCTAAACCCTGGGGGATGAGAGCAGAAGCCAGAGGAGGGGCCTATAGCTGAGCCTTAGGTATTCTACCTGCACCTCACCTGTCAGACCAGCCTGGCAGGTTCAGAGAGTCTGCTCAGGGACTAGAAAGGAGGTGGCCAGACATAAGGGGCTGCCTGTATGGACCTCAGCAGCTGCAGCCCAAATACAGTTGAAATCCTTGGGCAACAAGCAGCATAGCTCCTACCCCAGGCTTCTCAGGGCTGCCAAGAACATGTGCTCTAGGTGCCAGGCTGTGTTTCAGACCCTGTTCGTACTCATTCTCTCTGTCCATGGGCCCAAACACAGTCTCATGTTGCTCCGTCTAATTTTGCACTCTCCACCCATCCTCTCTGCCTAGAGAAATCCTTCAACTTTCAATACCCTGCTAAGATGTCACCTCCTCCAAGAAGGCTTTGCTGAGTTAAGATCCCTGGTCACCTGCTCTGGCAATGCTTTGTGCACACTTCCCTGCATTGTAGTAACTTGACCTGGAGTCTGTGGTCCCTGGGATGACCTTAAGGTTAGGGCTGCATCAGTTTGTTTCCTGAGCACTTAGTATGATGCTTGGCACATAATTGGAGCCCAGTGAGTACAGAATGTGGAAACTATTCCTCCACCCTGGAATATTCTTTCCCTCTCCTCCACCCATCTAAACAGGCCCACCCTTAAGGGAGCAGCTTAAATTCCACCTCATCCTTGAAGATTTCTCCAGCCTGAAGCAATTGTTTCCTCATATGTAGAATGACAGAATTCAAAAGGGCTTTAGCCAGGATGACTTGACACAAGTAGATAGTAAAGGGAGGAATATAAAGTGCTACCTTTAGGAACATACAGGCTGGACCCTGGCATCATGATTGTTCAAGTGACAAAGATCTAGTGGTTTTAGATTTCTGCAACTTTAGTATAAACCAGGGGCCTGGACCTGTATTTACAGAGGTGCAATACCCACATCATGTGAGGGGTTGTACCAGTTGCATACATTGAGGAGTAGAGAATGTCCCAAGACCAGGTCATAAGGGAAAAGGCTGAAGTGCCGAGGGTCTTTATCCTGAAGGAGCAATATGCAGGGAGCCCTCTTCCAACACTTGAAGGCCTGCCAAGTGGAAGAATATGCTTGCTCTGTGTAATTCCAGAAAGCACACGTAGGACCAATGGGTAGAAATTATGTGGAAGCTCTTTTTCCTATAGGGCCCCCTAATTTTAACCACAAGGGCCACAAACACTGTTAGTGTTTCTTTAAGAAGTTGTGAAGTCCCTGACCCTGGGAGTGTTGAGGCAGAGCCTAATCAACCTATTTCTCAGGGATGCTACAGCATGGATCTCTCCCTTTGGAGGGAGACTAGGATGTCATGTATACAGTCCTTTCAATTCTAAGGATTTCTTTTTTTTTTTTTTTTTGCCCAAGAAGTTTCTGTAGCACTATCGTCTCCAATATGACCTTGGCCCATAGCTTAGAGAGTCTTGTCTTAATTATCATTTCAAGTGTGTGTGACTTTGCTCCCTAGCTGGACTGTAAAGCTACTTAACAGCAGGGGCTGTATATTCAACGTCTTTGTCACATAGCACTGTGGATGCTTGGTAAACACTCATTGATTGTCTGATGTAATAACCCATGCTTTGGCCCTTCCCATAGAGGGGAGAGAGATTGAGAGAGGGGTGAGTGCTGGCCTTAGAAAGCAGAAATTCGGTCTCATTTCTGGCAGCCTTTCTCATTTCTCATCCTGTAGGCATCTGGGTCTTATCCTGACCCCTCCCACTTCCTCAGCAGGTCCTTTGTGAAACTTCACAAATGACCTGAAAGGGAGAATTACCATAAGGCTGCTGGTCTCCAGAGAACATTACACCCAAGCTTCTCTGACTCTTGTAATAGGCAGACGGATGGAAGAATGGAGAGATGGGTGGACGGATAGATGGATGGACTGAGTTAAGCAATGTCAGTTAGAGAGCTGAATGTTCTGTACCCCCGCCCTATTCACACTGTCATATTTCCTAGTAGTCAAGGGGACATGATGCTCGCCTAGTCCCAGGATGAGTCTAAGGTGAATGTCTTCTGCAGCTGGAATTCCTTAGATGTTCTGGCTTATCAGGCTGGTACCAACTAATTAAACCTATTGAAAAATGGAGATTCCCTTTTCATCTTTCCAAACAGGGCCATACTCACAATGCTATCAGCCCCTGCTCTCACTGTGGCTCTCTGGCCACAGCCTGGCTTCAGCCATCAGAGATTGTTCTGTCCCTGGGGCCACCAGACATACTCTGTCTTGCATTCGCCACCTCTCCAAGTCTAGGATAGAGTACTGTGGGGCACCAGAGATGTCTGACCCAGTACTGTTTATTTGGCTGTGAAACCACTAATAACATAGGCAATGACAGTAGCTACAGAACAGGGGGCCAGTGTCTGGTCTCTGCCAAGGCTTTATGGGTGACTCTCTTCCCCTTCAACAAACACTCATTAATGTCCCCACCTTCTTATTATCCATACTGCACCAAAGGCATTGTGAAATCTCTGGGCTCTTCTTCCTCCCTGTCCTGGAGCTAATTATAGAGATTGCTGCAGGCGTGACCCACTCTGACCAGACAGTATAAACACAGTGCAGATGCCCCAGAGAGAACAGTTGGAGGCTCCAGGCATCAGGGTCCCGGACACCCAGGATCTGCAGGTCAGTGGTGGACAAGTAGTGTTCTCTCTCTCTTTCTCTTTTCTTCTCCCTTCTGTCAATATCACTGATTCACCCCCTGCCCCTTCACCCTCTTGTCAAGCCCTCCAGCTAACAGGTATCCCCTCCAAAGAACAGGGTAGGATGCTAAACAAATCTAGGAGCACAGAGAGAGATTTGAGAAGGAATAGATTCAGCCAAATCAAGATTTTTAAATATTTAGAAGCATGGGTTTTAGAAAGTAATGTCAGAAGAAGTCATCTAGGCCAGTGGTATTCAAACGATGTTTGGTGAAACTTGAGCGTTCCTTCGTTCCTTGGGAGCTCCCTGGTGCCTGCTTCATAGGCAAGAGGCTAGCATGGCTCTAATGTCATCATTGCTTTCTGTGTCAAAAAAAGCACGGGTCCCCTTTATCCATTTTACATTCATTAGGTTTCTGTGTAAACTTTCTTTGTGAAACTTAAAACAGTTTTGAAAGATACTCATCTTGTCCAACCTCTTACTCCAGTGATGATAAATTGGAGGCCCAGGGACGGCAGGCATCAGGACAGGTGCCAGCAGAGCTAAGTCTGGCACCCAGTCTCACAATTCAAAGTCTGCTGTGTGTGTTTCTAGGTCCTGCTTGAGAGCACCAAGCTGTGTCAGTTAGGGTGGTTGGGGAGAGCTTCCGGTGAGCTGTAAGCCATGCTTCATGACTTCAAGATCGTATTAACTTTTATAAGGAAAACAAATGTCTTTATGTGCAACAATAAACGATATAGTAAAATTTAATAGGAGTTCAGAATAGGGTTACAACAGTAAGGGAAAGATTCATTAAATTCTGAGTCATGGAATTGTCTACAGTTTGACCTAAAAAGAACCTTATTAACCACATAATCTAATCCCATGAATTTATAGATGCTGAAACTGAGGATTGGAGGTTAAGTGGCATAGCCGTGTATGTCTGAGCTGTTACTCTGAGCTGATCGTTGATTTGGCAGAACTAAATACTGAACCTGTGTATACAGATAACATGTCCAGTGATCTTTGTACCAAAAGATCTGAATGGGCAGTGATGGGGAGGAATGGCTTTTGAGGCAGGGAAATCTGAGACAACTGTGAAGATGCCCACTGAGAAGATGAGAAAGAAGTCATGTTGCCTGGAGGGGAGGGTTAGTGTCCATGGAGAAGTGAGACACTATCATACAAGCGAATCAGGGCCAGATGGTGGCTAAACAGGCAGTCACTGCAGACTCTAGATCTGTCCTCAGAATGTGGGTCCAGGGACCTCACATAGGTTGGGCTGGGTTGAAGATAGGTAATCCAGGAATACAAGCACAGTTGTAATGGTGATTAAGAACACAAAGTTATATTTTAAAGGAACAATGTATCCGAATTTATTGATAAATCAAACAGTCAAGTCAGGAGAAGTGGGAGATATTGTCAATGATTCTCAGATTTTGAACATCACTGATGAGAGGAATGTTATGACAGTAAGAGAAATGAAATTAGAAGGAATAAGAGGGTTGGGAGGAAGAGAAGACAATTAACTTGATCTTGGATATATTTGGTTGACTCTCAGCGGGTATCCAACGTGGGGTGGTGTCCTATAGACTGCTAGGGGTAAAGTAGGGTGTTCAGTCTGGGTTTGGGGGGCATTAGACAAAAACCATCATTGTAGCCATAGAAATCGATGAGTTGCCACTCCATGGGGTATGAAATAGAATTGCTTATGACTTTGTCTTGTGACTCTCAGCATTAGGGACAGCCCCAGATGGAGGGAATATCTACGATAGGCCTGAGAAGCAGAGAAAGAGAGGTGTGAGGGTGTCAACCAATGTCAAGGGTTTCCAAGGGGCAGCAAGCAAACATCAAAGGAACCAAAAAAGAGACTTTGGATTTGGCTCCACCGAAGTTAACATTTGGTCTTGGAGAGGACACCCGCATAGTCAATGTGCAGGAGAATGAAGAGAGGAGAGGACAGGTGGGATGTGCAAAAGAACATGGAGAAAGCCCAGGGCTATTTGGTGGTGGTATTTGATCCAGGACAGGTGAATTGAGGAGGTCTGAGACAGCCAGAGGCCATGTTCAGGGAGAAGTGAGAGGAAGGAAAGTCGGATACAGGCCAAAGTCCAGTGAAAAGTCATTTGAGGACAGCGGGAAGGGAGAGCTTTGGGGATGGAGCATGTGGCACATTGGGAGGGCCATGGCAGAGGGCTGGAAGCCAGCTTCCCACTCCTACTCACCCCATCACAAGCCAGCCAGATACCAGGCAGGGGACCTGATATGGGAGCCTTCAGGAGAGACACTGGAATTTTTGGCTATGCGAGGATGGGAGGTTTCTAGTGCCCAGGGGATCCAGCTGGACGGGACCAGCACTGAATTCCTGCCAGCTCTTTGAGCTGACACTGACCAAGAGTGCGGGTCATCAGCCCACTTCCCACAAGGCCCTCCATGTGGTCCGCCCTACCTAAACCTGGCACAGCTACCAGGCTGCCCTCCATCCTGCTGCCACCACTAGAGGAGCCCCAGTGGTTTGGCCAAGAGAGAGCACGTCATCAAGTGGGCTCACGCAGAGGCCGTGCTGCTGTTGGATGCTCTGTGGCGGGGGCTTGTCTGTCCTCCACCACTCCAACCGCTGTCCCAGGACCAACAGCATTAGCATCACCTGGCTGCATGTGTAGAATGTAGAGTCTCAGGCCCCATGTCCAGAACCTCGGGACCAGAATCTGTATTCTGATAAGGCTGCAGGTGATTCGCATGTTTATTAAAGAGGGAGAAGAGCTGAGCTAGTCTACCAGTTCCCAAGCCCACTGGTCCCTGGAACCACTTGAAGCCCTACCAAATCAGAACCCTCAGCCCAGACAACAGTACTTATAAAGAGTCCCCCATGTGATTCGATGGGCAGGCACGTATGAATACTTTATTTAAAAAAATATTTAAACTTATTTTATACTACAAAGAAAATTCATGTTCAGTATAGGAAAAATGTTGGGATGTTTTAAAAAGAAATTGCTCATAATCCTGTCAGCCACGGGTAAGTGCTATAACAACACCACAGTCTTTGTTTCTATGTATGTGTGTGGATTTAAATCCATTTATAATGTACATGTGATTTATAACCTGCATTTTTCACTTAATACATTTTGAAGATTTTATTTCATAAAACAGACTTCTACAACATCATCTTTAACAAACACTTTCTTCTTTTTTGAATTTGCCATAATTTTTAGCCAATTGCCTGTTATTGAACATTTAGATTATTTCCAACTTCTCACTATTGTAAAAAATAATACAGTGACATCTTTGTAACTAAACATTAGGGCAATCCATTATTTTTCCTTAGAAAAAGGGCAACACATGCGATCACAAAACACACAAAACACTTGAAGACTTTGATTCACAGAACCAACATCTCCCCAGAATTGCACCCTATCAGTTCGTATCATCCTTCACTCTCACTAACTCTTAAGTCCCACCCCAAGACACAGGGATAGAAAATGACTTGTCCACAGTGACAGAGTGGCAGATCCAGTACTAAAAGCCACCTCACTACTGCCCCATTTCTTCCAAAATCAGGCCACGGACTCAGGTGCTCAGGTGGTCGGAAGCCTGGCCCCCAACACACACCTTCCCTCCTTACCGTCTTACCTACCTCCCCAAATGTCCCTCAGCATCATGCTATCCCTCTCTGAGCCCCACTCCTTTCCTCCAACCTTCTGTCTTTCTCAGCTCTTCTTATTTTCTGCTTTCTTACATATTTTTCTTCTCTTTTTTCTTCTTACCTGGTGAGAATTGGCTCTCCTCGGTAAACCTCAGCCCTAGTCATCCTTGCATTTACTTTTCTGGGCTAATTTGCAACTCCACATTGGCTCTGTGTTTCTTTCCATGCTAGATTCTGGATTGGCCTTGCCAAAGGATGGGCATTTTAGGGAAGAGCTCTAGATCAGGGTAATCCACAGGGAAGGAGCAGAGTTCACAGGATGCCATGTGGCCTGGCGTTTATACAGGGGCACTATCTTCACTTTAGATTTTTCACCCTCAAAAACACCAGTGCTGTTTTCCATCTGGAACAGAATGGGGCAGCGGGGTGGATGGACTGCCTTTGACTTGACACTCTTGGCCAAGCGATTCCAGTCGCTTGGAAGGATGCTTTCCTACTCTCTGGGGACGCCCCACCTGCTCCACTGGGCTGGAGACGACTCCTCGCTGTGCCCTCCTCCCCCACTCTGGGCTCTGGGTACTAACCCCTTGCTGGGTAGGGAGTGGAAGTGTGGTGACCCTAGGGCTGGCTGGGCGGTGGGACTGGGTTTGAGCTGGGCTCATTCACCAACTGTGAGGCTGGAGCACATCCTGCCCCATTCTCAGGCCCGGGAAGTATCCCAGCTCAGCCATCTGGGGAAACCTGTCATCAGGTTTCCCAGAACCAGCACCTGGGCATAGGTCCCAGCCTCACACCTCTGCCAGCCGGACCTGCTCCCCGATGGCCCTGGTGAGGGAGGCAGAGCCGCCTGGAGCCTGCTGGGCTGGAAGGACCTTGGTGGATTCCTGCAGGCCGGTTGTCGATAAGCAGCCCAGGGGACCTTTGCAGCCTGTGGCTGGGTGGCTCTGAGCCTCAGATGTCTGTCCCTGGCTCCACCCACCTCCTTCTCTAACAGCCCTTCTCTCCTCCTTCCCAGAGAGGACCAGACACCCCTGATTGCAGAAATGTGCTCCCTCCCCATGGCAAGATACTACACGTAAGTCCTGGCGCCATCCCACTTTCCCAACCTGGGGGTCTGAGGATCATATGGGAAGAGGGAGGGAACGCTGAGTCAGAGGATGAAGCTTCTTCTGACCTTAGAACTCTCAGGTGCCCCGTAGTTAAGCATCCTCCTCACTGCAGTAGCGACAGTTCTTTCTGAATGTCTGCAGGACACCAGCCATTCTACTGCCTCAACTGTCCTAAGAAGTCTACAAGGGGAGTCTATATGAACCCCATTTTACAGATATGGAAACTGAAGCTCAAATAGGTTCAATAATTTTCCCCATGTCACCCAGCTACCAAAAGGCAGAGCCAGGGATCAGTTGCCACGTCCTCTGTGCTGCTCCATCTGCCTGTCCGAAAGTTCAGAGACAATTCTGAATCTCAATGACAGCATCTTTATGGTGGCCTCTGTGGCCTCTACTCCCAACCTGGGCTCCAGCTCTTATTTGCATTTTACCTCCTTCAAGATTTGCACCCTTACTTATAGTTCACTACTTTATTGTTAGCGATTTTGTCAAGCCCTTTAGGGAAGAGATAGGGCATAATAGAAAGAAAATAGGATTGACTTCTGGTGGGCATTTCATCCCCAGAGGACCTCAGCTCCTTCCCCGGGCCCTGTACCATCCTGGACAAGGTGTAGAGGTGGGGGAGGGGAGGCGTGCTGGCCTCCTGGCGGTGACAGCCTGGCTTGGAAGGCAAGGTGCATATGCAGGAAATAAGCAAATGACGAAATAGAAGTCAACTCTTCAGGGCCTCTAGCTCAGAGTCCTGGTCTCCAAATAAGATGTTGCTGGCAGGTGAGTTGTCAGGTCCCCTTATCAAGGTTGGAGGGGGAATGAGGGCTGATAAACCTAGGGTCTTTCCAGACCTTTATTTTTATTGTACGAATAAACCTACTTCAAACATGTAGTCATTTGCTAAGGATATTATAATATAATCAGCTGTTAACTGAGAGAAAAAAATCTGGAGGTGGTGGCATTGGTCCAGAGGTTCTGCCCTAACAGGTGACAGAGGAGAGCTCCCCAGGCCCTGAGAGCAGCTGACAGGCATCTTTGAAACCAGCCAGGCAACTGAGCTAATCACCTGCATGGTTTTAAAGTCTTTAAAATACGTGAAAGGCAAATCACACTTCAGTATACACTCAATCAATCCTTTTATTAAAGAGAATAAACATTTATGAAAAACTGGGGCAGGCCCAGAAAATCTGGGATAAGGCTCTCCAGAACCCAAAGACATCTGAGCCTCCCTAGGAAGTTTCCCAGGAAGCCAGGGAAACCTTCACTCCTCCATGAGAAAGCACTGGCTCCCCACACTGCCCCGAGGGCCTCAGGGTTGCCCAAGCTGGGTGAAGGCAGGAAGTGTAGCTTCTAAAAGCGCCAGCCCAAGAGCCCTTCTGTGCTCTAAGACCGACCTGGACTTTACCTGTTCTTGGCAGCAGTAGTGCCCCATTTCACACCTGTGGAGGAGAGAAAATCCCCCAAATGCCCAGGGTGGTGATTCAGAGCATGGGGGTGGAGGGGCGTGGGGGCGAGTGGTGCCTAAAGGGAGTGGGCCATTGGCATTGTCACACTGTTCCAGAATGAAAGATGCAGATCAGAAGGCTCTGTACGTGAGAGATGGCCAGCTCCTGGTGGGAGATCCTGTTGCAGACAACTGCTGTGCAGGTGAGCTTCTGGGGCCTCCACCAACAGGTGACAGTGAGAGGGCATGATCCCTGTAGGAGTCCCAGCTCGCCCCGCAGCCTGCAGGCAGAGACAGGCCAGATGTGTCCATGCCCAGTTCCTTCCTGCCCTAGCCTTTGCCCGCCAAGGGCCTGCAACTGGGGGTCCCCATCCCTTGACTCTCTTCTCTCTTCCCTACCAGAGAAGATCTGCGTACTTCCCAACAGAGGCCTGGACCGCAAGAAGGCCCCCATCCTCCTCGGGATCCAGGGAGGGAGTCGCTGCCTGGCATGTGTGGAGACGGGAGACGGGCCTTCCCTGCAGCTGGAGGTAAGAGACGCTTCTCCATTCTGGTGGACGCTGCAGACCTGGCCTGGCCTCCAGGATGCTCTGGCATCTCTGTGCCCCTCTGTGGATTCCTGGCCAGGTCCACACTTCACCCTCCCTCAAGTTTCCACCATCTCCCTCTGTACCCAGCACCAAGACCCTAGCCCTCTGGAACCTGCAGAAGGCAGTTCCCTGGGTAAAGGCCCACCCTGTTAGGTTCCTATTTGGCCAAGCCCTGGGAGCCTCTAGGGCTGATATCTTGATTGGCACCCTCATCCTGTAGCCGGCCACTTTGCCTCTACAGGATGTGAACATTGAGGACCTCTACAAAGGTGGCGAAGAGACCACACGCTTCACCTTCTTCCAGAGCAGCTCGGGCTCCGCCTTCAGGCTTGAGGCAGCTGCCTGGCCTGGCTGGTTCCTCTGTGGTCCAGCCGAGCCCCAGCAGCCGGTACGGCTTGCCAAGGAGAGTGAGCCCTCGGCCTGCACCGAGTTCTACTTCGAACAGAGCCGGTAGGGAGGCGGGAGGCTGAGTTCCAGCCTGGTGCCCACAGACCAAGCTCGTCCTGCTCAGCGTCTGTGGTAGGCAGAATAATTGCCCCAAACAGCCGAATCCCCAGAACCTGTGCATATGTCACCTTATGGGCAAAATAGGCTTTGCAAATGTGACTATGCTAGGGATCTTGGTATGGGGAGACCATCTGGGCACATGCGTTGAGTTTAAGGTGGGCCCAATGTAATCACAAGGGTCTCATGAGAGGAGGGAAGGAGGGGACAGTCGGAGAGGGGTTTGAAGATGCTAAACCAGGGGCTCTGAGCCAACAAATGCAGGCAGTTTCTGGAAGCTGGAAAGGCAAGGGCATGGATCCTCCTCTAGAGGCCCCAGAAGGAACACAGCCCTACTGATACCTAGATTTTAGTCCACTGACACCCATTTCAGGCTTCTGACCTCCAGAACTGTAAAACAATAAACTTGTGTTGTTGTAAGCCACTCAGTTTGTGGTAATTTGTCACAGCAGCCATAGGAAACTATTGCGGGGCCTCAGTCTACCTGTGTGCGGTGCCGGATGCAGGGGGCTTGGTAGCTTGGTGAGTTCTTCTTAGAAGGCTGCTCACAGCCTCTCCTCCAGTCCCTGCTCTGGGGCCTCTAGAAACAACCAAGAAGCCCCAAGCAGAACCCAGTCTCCTCCTCTGTGCAGGCACAAAGCCTTGGCCTGCTTTGCAACTTCAGCTCTCATTCAAGTGCCATGATTTTTCTACCAGATACTTCACAGTGAATCAGTTATTCAACCAACTGACCGGTACTGTCAGCTGCCGGCTGGTTTTGGTGTGTGAGGAGCCAGTAGCAGTAGTGAGGGGCAGGCGATGAGTGTTCCTGGACACAGTGAGTTTAAAGTTGTAATGGAATCCCTGAGTTGAGGAGACTTGGTATGGCCGGGAATACAGGAACTCGGCTGAGAGTTTACAACTAGAACTCACCCTCATCGTCAGAGCCTGAATATTTCTCCATTTCATAGAGTATCTGTGGTCGGGCTCTGGCTCGAGCAGAGAGCCTGTGGTCTTGGTCTCAGGGCTCAGAGAAGGCGTGGGCTGCTGGCACTCTCCCTGTGTCTGAACTACTCAGCATCCATCTAGCATGCTCTGAGTTCCAACCAGGGGTCAGGAAAAAAAGGCTGTCGTTGTCCTCAGAATGACTGTGTAAGGCAAGCATTCTCCCCTCCATTTGACAGATGAGGAAACTGGACTAGGAGAAGTGAAATAACTTGCTGAAGGTCACAGGGGCTATATGTGCCAGAGCTCAGGAGAAAACCTGGCCCATCTGACCCCAATGTCATTCCACAAATTTTTATTCCACCCCAGGAGCTGGGGATAGAACTGTGAACAAAACCAAACTTCCTTGGAACTGATAACTGAGTGGGAGAAACACTAAACAAGCAAATTAACAAACAGGAAAACAAATAAGGGCACTTTTCATGATTAGAAGGTGAGGGCAGCAGGTATTCAATGGAAACATTGGGTAGGGTGGTCAGTGGAGGTGACTTTTTTGAAGAGGTGACATTTGAGCTGAGGCTAAAGGAGAGGAAGGCGTTGGAACTGGGAATGATCCAGGCAGAAGAATAGCAAATGCATCAGCCCTGCAACAGAAAGGAGCAATCTGTTCCAATGACAGCAGCAGGTGGGGTGGGAGTGGGGTCAGAGCCTGGAGAGGAGGGGGAGGGCTGAGCCAGACCAGCAGGTGGGCTCAGAGGATTATGTGCAAAAGGAAACTGCGGAGGGCTTTGAGCACAGACGAGACATGATGGGCGTCACAGCTCCTGTACACTTAGGTTCTTTCCCTGGGCTGCTTCTCCATAACCTGTGTGCGCCCTGGTTACTTTATCACCTGGCTACCACATCGTGACCACGTGTTTACATGTTGGGACTCTGCTGTCTGAGCGCATCCTCTGTACAATTTTGCATCACCTGTGGCCAGAAGAGCTGCTAGTACATAGAAGGTGCTGAATAGATGCAAAATCTTGAGTGAGTTAGTGGGCGATCCCTTGGTTCTTGCTGAATGTTCATGATACCACGTGAGGACAACTGTGCTGCAAGGGACGGATGCCCCTGAGCTGGCAGGGAGGGCTGGGCAGGGCTTAACAGAGGAAAGAGCATTTAATCTGGGCCTCAAAAAAAAGGAAAAAAAAAGTAGGAGTTTTCCAGGCAGAGAACTCGGGAATGGGTATCCTAGGCAGGAAAAACAGCTCAGGATGGTGCGATGGAGGAGAGCTCCCAGCACGTCCAGGGCGCGGTGAGTCGGCGAAGTGGCTGGGACCCAGCGCCTGTGGCTGAGGAGTTGCTGAAAATTCAGATGGCAAGATGGGTGGGGCCTGATTGCAAATGCCTTGCAAAGGAGTTTCATCTGGGAGGCCCCGAGGAATCATCCAAGTATTACAAGCAGGACCCAGATTTTAATCCTGGGTACGTGAGATCTACGTCAGACTGACCCAGAAATTACTAGGGCCTCAAAGAGGGCCTCGGCTCTTCTCAGCTTCCTCCTCCCTCTTGTCTGCCCACCTGCCTGCTGTTTGTCACGGCCCTGGGGTCAGCTCTGGTACTCTGGTCTGCGTTTTGCCTGACACCTGCTTCATTTTTACGTGGTCAGCTGGTCTCCTTCATGCATGTCTTGAAAAGTAAACTTGGCCACATTGAAATTTTAAAGAGTTTTCTTGAGCAGAAAGCAATTCATGAATTGGGCAGCACCAAACTGCAAGCAGTTCAGGGATCGCCAAGGGGGCATGGGGAAAACTTTTGTAAGGTATCCGGGAAGCAAGAGTAAGAAAAAATGTGATTGGTTAAAGTGGACAGTTCCTACTTAGAGGGTTACTGGGCAGTTCCTGATTGGTTAAGCTTAAGTTTCATTTTCTTAGGCTATGACCATTCACTCTGGATTGGATTTCAGTTTGCTTAGTAGGAACCCAAGGTGCTGGAGCCACCTCAGCCTAATAGCCTTCCAATTAATTATGTTAACACATAGTAACCCATTTCTGCTGGTCCTTCCCTTGCAAACTGTGCCCACGCCGGGCCACCCAGGCAAACCCAGGCCTCCTGCTACCAGTGGGCCCTGCCCCAAGTTGGATCATGTTCTCTACATAAGTAAAAAACATTTCAAGCACCTAATATATGACAATTCTGTGTCAGTGCTTGGAAGAGGAAGAGGACACAGACTTAGAAGACCTGGTGCCTACTCTTCAAGGATACACAGTACGGGTGGAAAGACCAGACCTTATGAATAAAAGCTAATGTTTGTTGACTGCTTTTTATGAATGACTACAAGACACTCCAAACAGCACTCAGGGGCCTCAGATTCAAATTCTGCAGGACTCTGGTAGAAATACTGATGGGATGTTCTGGCACTGGGGATTTAAAAGTAAGAAATGGAGGCAGCTTCTGACAGGCGCAGTTCAGGGATGCCGAGAATATTCTTCCCCCACACCCCAAGGCTTGTGCCTTAAATTCCTTCTTCCTGGAGACCACACCAAAGTCTTCACTCCACAACCAGGCTATGAGAATTATTATTATGTGAATACAAGGGACAGGCACACCCTTAGGTCTTATCCAATATTTACATCTCAGGGTGAACTGGTAGGTCCAGAGACAGAAAACCAGGCGATTGGAGGATTCTACCAAAACAAAGAGTCTATCTATCCCACAGCAAATGCCAGTCTCCGCTCTAAAAAGCACAGACCCCAAGCAGTCAGGGGCGGAATCCCCGAGCCCATTGTTGAAGCTGGGAGCCTGCAGTGTAGCCTTTGGGCTGCAGATGGCGACAGAGATCAATCTTGGCACCGCCTTTTGGGGGCTGCGAGCTGAGTGAGCCCTTAAATTTAAGTCGAGTTCTTAGTAGCTACTGCCTGTCAGCCCCAGTGCCTCAAATCTCTGCCTCACCTACCGTAGATGCATCCTTCTCAAACAATGTGCGAGTGCAGACCTGGGCCATGTGAAAACGTCGCAGAGCTCTGCGTGCGCCTTCCTTCTGATAACAAGAGTTTTTTAGCCCCTCCTTGACAAGAGGGACACGGCCCCCGCCCTCTAGGTGCTTAGAGCCTGGGAGGCAAGATAGATATTAAACATACACTCACTTTTACAGTTTTTGCACATATGTGAAGGAGCACAGATGCACGGTTAATCCTTTTTCTCTATGACAGAGATGCTGCCGTGAATCGCTCTCCTGTACGCACATTCCCTCCAACTCCCCTGGGTCACCACCCTTGCCCAGGCCCTGCTCACAGAATCAGAGTGACAAAGGAGGCTGAGACCCTTGCGTTCTAGCAGAAGCTCTCTGCACTGGAACATTTCTCACAGACATGTTCTGAGGGTCTGTAGCCATAGGACCCAAGATATAAAAAATAGCACTGGTCATGTAAGCCTGTCTACATAAAGGACCACAGACTCAGGCACCTCCTAGCTAAGCATTGTTCAGACTGGGTCCAGGGGACACTATTCCAACAAATGCTCATAGGTTTCTGGGGATAGTGGGTTACCTCTGGTCTCCTCTTCTGCATGCCTCTCCCATGCTTTCTGTTTCAGCCACACTGATCTCCTCACTATTCCCCAAAGACAAATACTCCAGGCATGATATCACCCCAGGGCCTTTGCACTGGGCTTCTGTTGGGAAGGCTCATTCCCTAATTATCTGCATGGCTCACTTCATCAGTGAGGCCTACCCTGGTGACCCCATTTAAAATTACAATATGCATTCCTCCTTAAATCTCAACACTCCTAGGTCACCTATGGTACTATCACATTCTGATAGACTCTATAATTTATTTTCTATTTGTTTTAATTTTTCCCCTCACTTTCTGCTAGAATGCAAGAATCAAAGGGCAGAGGTTTTAGTCTGTTTTGTTTGTTTATATATCACCAGCATGCACGAGCATCTATTAGGCATGTGTCAGGCACTCAGTGACAATTCCTGAATGAATAAAAGAGTAATGCACAGTGAGTTGGGAGAAACATGGTTAGTCAGGTCTCCACGGGCATCCATCCTAGGAAGCCCAAGCAGGGTTTCAAAAG